GTATTTTTTCTTTTTTTTTTTTTAATGGTGGGTGTTTACGCAGTTGGCTAGAGCAGTGCTGATTGGGGAGAACAGAGGTGCGCTCACTCTTGCCCAGGGCAAGTAAGATTGCAACTCAAGGCTGGCAGTCATGCATATGCTCTGGAACAGAGTAATATCGCGTCCACATCGCAGGCTTTGCGATTAGGAAATTGCAACGTCTCAAATCGCGATTTCGATTCGATTTCGATTAATCTCACAGCCCTATCATACACTTTAGTTTTGTCTGATAATTTCATTCTATTTTATGTTTTATGTATTCTATTTTATGTATTCATTCTATTATATTTTAGGTCTATTTTATACTGTTAACCTTGACCACTCAAATTAGTCGAAATGAGAAGCGTCATGAGTCTTAGAAACTGACTGCTTTTATTTAATGTTTGTGCAAACTTTGTGTTTAACGTCTTTTGAAGCTTGGCATGCAGAATAGTAAATGGTACAGATACCTATTACCAAACTCTACAAAGCAGTGCCTTGTCAGTAACATCCACCACTATCAAAAGCCTGATTTTGTGTGCACAATACTTAAAGAAAATATTTCCAGCACAGGCCCGGTCAAAATCCCCACCAACTAAAAGAAGCAATAAATGCGCTAATATAACCTTCCAATGCTTTGGACAACGTAGCAGTGATGTTAAAACTGTCAATTTATAAGGGCACATTGGGTTGTGAAACTCTTTATTGCTCCTAGGTTCTGCTCAACATTATTTACTATTGTTGAGAAGAATGACTATTCTAGTCATTGCAGAATGACTATTTATACTATAGAAGAATGAATCAAAGCTAATTATTCAGCCTAACTTTAATAACTACACGAGTGCAACAGGTGTTACGGTGCTTTACAGACTTGGAAAAAGCACAGAAAACAGGTTGCAGTACTAATAAGAATCTGAACTTTATGAACCGTCCCTACAAATCTCCTATGACCACCAAGGAGTGACAATAACTGTAGCAGCGTCTGACCCAGAGCACTAAACTTCCTGCCCCAAACACCCAGTGGAATAAAAGCTGACCTCTGAACTGGACACCGATCATTATATACCACTATGGAATGTGTGTGAGTGAGGAAGCAGCTCTGGTTACCAAGAACATGAGCGCACACACCAGGAAATCTGGTTCTACAGGCAGGCCAAGCCCAACCTTGACACACGAAAGGGTGGGTGTAAAAACTGACGGAAAAACAAAATGGCTGCATCCCTAACAATAGTAAACAATTAATCATTAATGCTTACTGGGAGTTTCTAAGGACAGAGAGCTCCAGGCTCCCAGTGGGGGGTCTAGGTAAAGGACCGGGGCAGCAGGTTTATTTGCTTGAAAGCATATGCATAAATAATAAATGAAACTGTACAGAGTCAGTTGCTCAGGCCAAGAGTCCCACCTCCCTCATCCATCTCCCCTCTCCTCTTTCACACTCCAGTCTCGCCTGCACTTCTCCTGGAAGTTGTTCTTCCCTACATCTCAGGCTTCATAGCCGCTTCAGCTGCCAGCAGAAAGGAGTAAAACCGTCTCACTTCACAGCTGTGTTACAAACGGCTCCCGAAGTGGAGGGAACTAATCTGTCCAAACATCAGCGGGGACTCCATGGGCACCAACGTCAACAAAACAGAGGTGTTTTGAACATTTGCTGCGCCATGTTGTGTTTGTTCTAGTGCTTTGATCAGTGACCTAAAACGACTCCGAACGGGGTCTAACCAATGTCTATTGGAGAACAGAGCCAGGAGCGCACTGGCACACGGTAGGCATGTGCACAATGTGACTGAAGAGCTTTTTTTCCACTGCAGCAGCTCTCCGACTGCAACTGTTCCACATGCCTCGCACGACTCAAACTCCAGGGTGGGAATGTCCAGCTCGCATGTGACATACATTCACAAGGCTCAAGGCCGTTTGTCATGCTAAGAGGTTTAGTATTAGTATATTAGGTTTAATATTCATAAGGAACACAGTTTTATGGGAGCGTTTAGTCTTTTTCATTCACTAAAATGCAACATGGAGTACAGCAAACTCATGCTAGATTGTTCACCTGAAGGACTCTGTCTGGTTAAACAAGCGAAGGACAGAAGGAAGTCTATTCTAAAAAAAAACACACAGAAGGGAGTAAATAAACTAGGACAAACTTCATAAGAAAAAAAATAGACTATTGTAAATGCAGACCTTGATTCATTTTTTGCCCACTAAAAACTGATATTTTCAGCTAAAAGAAACACCTACAAACTTTTCAATCTTTCAGCGCTCAATAAGGTCTGAAATATCTAAGGTCTGAAAGTAAGGTCATATAATTTACATTTGCTTATTTGCAGTGAGTCTTGAGATCACCGATCACTAAAGTTGCTAAATCATAGCCGGCTGAACCCTCTCCTTCTGCCACAACAAATATACCACCCACTTCTTCCTCTGAAAAACCCCACCCCCTCCCCCTGCTTACTCACACACCCCCTCTCTCTCACCGAGGGGCTGCCTATTCGGGGCTTTTAGCTTTCTTACCAACAATGCCACCCTTTAAAACACTGTTTTGAGGCCAACCTGGGAAAGAAAGTCTCAGTAAAGAACAAATATTGGTGACCTGACAAAGTGAAAATGTAAAATCGTTTTAAAAAAAAATAGTACATTAACCAAAACCAAAAGTCTCACATTAAATCTGACTATCTACTAAGCCAAGATCAAACTACAAGCTAGCAAGCAACAAACATAAATAGTACTACACAAGGAAACAGCACTGGTGATTAGTTGTGTAATGTTCAGAAAAGCAACTTCACAGAAAGCTTATCAGTTTTACCTTTTAACAGGGACGGAGCAATGTGCAATTTTTTCCAAAAGGGCATCCAGTGTCTGAAAATCCAGCAAATCATTGGACTTGGAATGCATTTTGTAATCCATTTATGAGTTCCTCTCGGCACAAAAGCAAAACAGAAAGGGAACTAAAGGCAAGAAAAGTTCGTCACTCATTCCCAAAACACAGCGACTTCTCGCTCTCGAATCTCCAGTTCTGACATGTGTGTTACTAAAATCCACTGTGCCAAATACATGTTAATCCATAGTTAGTCCACCATAGTCCTGAGAGAAAGGTTTTGTGGTTCCTGAGAAACCTCTAAACAGAGTCTCGCTTGCGAGTGAGAGAGAGGCGCAGAGGCCTGAGGCCGGCTGGATCGGTTAGCTCTGTGCACCGGTCGGCTCTCTACCCCCTCCCCCTGTCGGCAGCACAACGGCCCAGTTGCCACAGGCACT